ATGTTGATCTCTTGAATGGCTTCTCTCCCAGACAGATGAGACATAATGATGTGGGGGCTGAAGGAAGAATGGATGGAACCGGAAGGGGGTATGCACACAGCACCTGGTGTGGAGGAAAGTGGAGAAAGGGAGACAGACAGAGCCCCTGGCATGGAGGGCAAGGAGGAATGGGGTGCACAGAGAACCTCTGGCAGGGGGAGATTGAGGGACACTAGGGGTGGGGGTAGTCCCACACAGTCTTTGGCAGGGGGGAGTTTTGGGGAATCCCAGAAATACAGGGTGATGGGAAGGTGGCACACAGGAAGCTTGTGGGGGGTGTGGGTGGAGAGGTGCAAGAACCCTTTCGTGTGTGCAATGAGCTTGGCGTACAGAAGCAACGAAGCATGTCACCCCTTACTACAAGAACCTAGAATAATGGGGCTCTTCTGATCCTGACCGGGAATTCTGGGTGTTACTGCAATATACGTAACAGCAGTACCAACCACAAGTATTCCAATCAAGAACCCAGCCCCGCAAATTAATGACATTTAAAAAAAATACAATATGGGTTCTTTGTATTAAGTTTTTGGTTTCTGAGCCATTAAGATGCATTCAGGTCACATTTTCAAGCTTTTCTCTGCAATCGAGTGCTGGAAACTTCTTATTTTTGTAAATGAAAGCTGAGATTCTCACATAATCACATTAATCTCCACGCTGGGCTTCAGAAACACCAAGCATCATGAGATTAGTGATAAAAACATAAAAATAAATCACAGGCGTTGACAACACTACAATAATTAATCCTGTGTACATAAGGCCCTAAAACAGCCAGGCAAGTGAAGCAACAGTTCAGCAAAGCACTTAATACATGTGCTTGAATCCAATTGTCTTCACAGGGAATTCAAGCAGGTGTTCTAGCGCTTTGCTGAAATCGGAGCCTAAATTAAATGGAGAAAGGAGCCTAATTAAAAAAAAAAAAGGGAACTGTTAATTTGTGATTGCCTCTAACGTGGCTCTCCAAACAAGAGTTAACTTCAATGTGTACAGTACTTTGTTGTCTTGCTTTGTTTAACGGTTAAGGTTACATCTTTGACCAAATTACTCTCTCAGTCTCATGATGCTTTAATAAAAAAAAAAAGCCAGCTCGATGTGGTCTTCATTTCTTAACCGGTCTTTCTGGATTTTCAAGAGCAGGCTATTTTTGTTGTTGTTGAAAGAACACACTTTTGAAAATATTCACCAAACAATAGGAGATTGTTAAACTGCCTAGTTCTAAGGCAAGGTAACCAAACCACCGCCAAGATGAGAAACCTTTACTGCATTCCATGCGATTACTGTTTTGGAAATATCGCCCCAAGACCCTCAGGTAAGCGAGTTGTTCAGAACGCGGTAAAATTCTGGTTACAGACTTAATCCTCACTTCAGCAGGAGTCAAGGGTGCTCGGCATCTAAGATTAGGCGCAGGTTCAAGAGAATTGATAAGAACAATGTTGAGAAGCGAGTTGGTTTGAGTCTTTGCCTTACCACTTGTGAATAACTGCAGCTGTAACTTACAGAATCAATACGTTTTAGCTACATCATGCCAAAAGAAAGCGACTTATCTACCCTAAGACAAATAAAACAATTGGGAAGGCCTAGATGCAACATACCAGGTTAAACAACCATAGGGTTACCATATTTTAAAAAAAAAA